AACAACACTCTGGAGTACTTTTTTGATATCTCAAATGCATCTGGAGATCTGGGAGGCTTCTTGCTGTCTGCTGACATTCAAATAATGGAGGTCTATGGCGCCCGAGGCAGAAAGGTCCATAAAAGTCCACAAAAAACGTGTCAATATTCCTCCATACTGCTCGTCCAATGTATTCCAAGTGTCCTGAGTGGGTAGCGTCCATAATTTACTCGAAACGAAGTCATTTAGAATGTTTTTAGAGCATAAACAGTAGTGTATAGGATTTCCTAAAAGCGCGTTCACGAGTCTACGGAAACCGCGGCAGACCAAACCAGATGAAAGTGCGCATTCAGCATCTGCTCTGACAATAATGCAAGCGTAGAAGAAGAAATGTGCTGTTTACCTGTGCAAAGAAAGAAACAACGAAAGAAAAATGTCTGAGGACTTCAGTGTTGAGGAAGAGCATGAGTTCTTTGCCGAGCTGAATGCGCACTTTCATCTGGTTTGGTCTGCCGCGGTTTCCGTAGACTCGTGAACTCGCTTTCAGGAAATCCTATACACTACTGTTTATGCTCTAAAACGTTCTAAATGACTTCGTTTCGAGTAAATTATGGACGCTACCCACTCAGGACACTTGGAATACATTGGACGAGCAGTATGGAGGAATATTGACACGTTTTTTGTGGACTTTTATGGACCTTTCTGCCTCGGGCGCCATAGACCTCCATTATTTGAATGTCAGCAGACAGCAAGAAGCCTCCCAGATATCCAGATGCATTTGAGATATCAAAAAAGTCCTCCAGAGTGTTGTTCAGCATGGGGGTGAGTAGAAAATGAAGGCTAATCATGTTTTGGGTGTACTATTCCTTTAATATGCAGACATGCAAGCTCTTACACGAGCTCTGACCTCCATTTTTTTTGTCATGATTTGAAATGACGAAAAAACGTTTACGAGCAGAAAGGTGCGTCTTGAAGCGGAGGGAGAAGGAATGTCTTCTGAAGCCGCTGACATGTTCATTTGTGGTATCGACCCGGATCTAGTTCCGTCCGCTTTCCCATCAGCTCTGACCCACTTCTCTGTCCCTGCTATAGAAAAACATGTTTGTAACCAGATCTTCTTCCTCCACACGTTTGCTGTGTCTTCTATGGTCTCTGTCAGAAATTCAACAGGAACTCTTATACTTTTTTTTTTATTGTTCTGAGCTGTTTAAATGTTCGATGCACCTCCATAAACTACAGATCTGTGGAGCAACTGAAGGAGAAGCTGTCCTGATGCCAGATTCTCCCACCTGAGCTGTGGATTTCTGAAACTCCTCCATAGTCACTATTGGTTTCTTGGCTGATTCTCTGATTGACGCTCTCCTTGCCCATCGTTAATACCCATATCTTGATGTTTCCAGTTGGCCCATCTTCTCTACATGATGGATTGGACTGATCTCTTGGATACGTTCATTTTAAATGATTAAATAGTGTCATTTGCTTTCTCCCTGACATGTCTGATGTTCCTTCATCTTCAGTGCTGCTTGTTCACTAAAGTTTTTTTTATAAAACTTTACCTAATATAATCAGGTTTTCTCTGAAACCTTAAGATAACAGCTGCATTTAATACTGAGATGTAACTATATGTCAGTAGTTTTTATGCCTTTGCTTACGGATCAGTGTCTTTATCTGGCATTCACTTTACAGCCGTACACTAAAGGAAGAGCTTATTTTAACGCGACAAAATGTGATCCTTTGCAGCAACCAGAGCTACGGAAGAGGATTAGGGCCACTGAAAAAAAAAAAAAAGTTAACTGATTTTTTTTTTTTTTGACTTCTTTCTCTGAATTCTGACTTTAATCTCAGAATTCTGAGAAAAAAGTCAGAATTCTGAGATTAAAGTCAGAATTCTGACTTTAATCTTAGAATTCTGACTTTAATCTGAGAATTCTGACTTTTTTTCTCAGAATACTGACTGTTTTTATTGTCAGAATTCAATCAATTCTGAGATTAAAGTCAGAATTCTGACTTTAATCTTAGAATTCTGACTTTAATCTGAGAATTCTGACCTTTTTCTCAGAATTCTGACTGTTTTTATTGTCAGAATTCAATCAATTCTGAGATTAAAGTCAGAATTCTGTGAAAAAAGTCAGAATTCTGACTTTAATCTCAGAATTCTGACTTTTTTTCTCAGAATACTGACTGTTTTTATTGTCAGAATTCAATCAATTCTGAGATTAAAGTCAGAATTCTGAGATTAAAGTCAGAATTCTGACTTTAATCTTAGAATTCTGACTTTAATCTGAGAATGATGACTTTTTTCTCAGAATACTGACTGTTTTTATTGTCAGAATTCAATCAATTCTGAGATTAAAGTCAGAATTCTGAGATTAAAGTCAGAATTCTGACTTTAATCTTAGAATTCTGACTTTAATCTGAGAATTCTGACTTTTTTCTCAGAATTCTGACTTTTTTCTCAGAATACTGACTGTTTTTATTGTCAGAATTCAATCAATTCTGAGATTAAAGTCAGAATTCTGAGATTAAAGTCAGAATTCTGACTTTAATCTTAGAATTCTGACTTTAATCTGAGAATTCTGACTTTTTTCTCAGAATTCTGACTTTTTTCTCAGAATTCTGACTTTTTTCTCAGAATACTGATTGTTTTTATTGTCAGAATTCGGTCAGAATTCTGAGAAAAAGTCAGAATTCTGACTTTCCCATGTTAAACTGAAATAAAATTTAAAAATCAGTTAACTTTTTTTTTTTTTCAGTGGCCCTAATCCTCTTCCGTACAGAGCAGACATCTCTGCGCTGCGTGTAAACCGTCTGGCTCGCTGTTTCCACAGTTTCCAGTTTCCTCCAGTTTGGTTCTCCCTGCAGAGCAGCTGAGCTCACAGACGGGCAGCTGAATCAGAAACTCTCAGTCAGAAAAATGTTTTTTTAAATAGAGAGGTGTTACTTATCTTTTCTGTTTTATTTGAGGAGTTTCCATTAAGAAATCTGAATCTGAATAATTTTGTTCCTGCAGCCTCAAAAGGCAGGAAAGACTTTTTATCATCCAAAAAACAATCCACTCTACTTTGTTTACAAATTTGAAGACATTTCTCTTCCCTTCCAGTAAGCTTTTCCAATTCAAAGTGTCAGAATAGAGTTGAGTTCGAAGCTTTATAGAGTGAACCAAAAACACTTTTATTTTGTCTTAGAAAACATGCAAATTGAACTGGATAAGCGGGTCCGCCCCTTTGGAACTGGGTGGTCTCAGATTTCAGCTTTCAAAATCAGCACACTGCACATTATCTAGAAATAACTCAAAATGTATGAAATTATGTGTATTTAGCTGTTTTTTGAGTAGGTAAATAACATTATTTTGCCAATAAAATAAGGATTTTTACTCTTAACCCTTTAAAGCCCGATCAAACAAAACAGAAAATTACTTTTTTTTATTTGAAGTCCTTATTTGGCCTTTTAACAAAATATGTAAAAAGAAAAAACAGAAATACATTTTTGATATTAATAATTTATTGCTATGCGATAAGTCAATATTATTTTTTGTGTAGCCTCCTGCCCTCTGTTATCAGGTATATCTGATTGTTACAATAGGATTTTGAGCAAAGTTTTTACCATTAAATTATGCAAAAAGTGTCAGATGCAAAACATTTCAGAAACCGTATGTATCAAATACGATACATTTGGAATTACAGGGTTAAAATAAGGTAATTAGATAATATGCACTTGAAATAAGACAATGACATCATTTTTTGTTATTTCAAATGTAAATTGTCTTATTTCATTGGCAAAGTGTCTCATTTACCTCCTCAATTCAAGAAAAAAAGCATTTATTTTAGAAAAAACATTACTTATCTAGATTTCGATTTTTTTCCAATGCAGCTTTTGAGTTGATTCCTTCCCGCTATCATTGCAACCCTGACCCCATAGAGGAGACTAAAACACCTCGCCTGTTTCAGCCAGGCCAACAATTTCAACTTTCAGAGTCATAAACATTTATCGGGCATTGCAGGCTAACAAAGAAACAAAACGACCCCCATTCCTAAGGGGCGGACCGGCTCGTCCGGGTCAATTTGCATGTTTTCTAAGCCAAAACAAAGCTTTGCTTTGGACCACTCGATAAGCGCCTCGAACTCAACGCTATTTCTGACACTGAATTGAAAAAGCTTCCTGGATGAGAACCAAAACGTCTTCAAAGTTGGAAACAAAGTCCAGTGGATTGTTTTTTAACTTTTTTTGGAATGACTGACCTGGATGACTGAGAATCTTCACCAACTTTTTATCATCTACATTTCCTCTCAGTCTGCAGCAACACCTGCTTCTTTAATGGCTGCATCTCCATGTTTCTTTTAGAAGAGCTGGAACAAAACATGTCTTCTAGTTTACAGAGAACTGAAGAAAGGTTTTGTTGATTTAAGTATTTTTTTAGGTCTTAGAGAAACACCATAAATTAATTGTCTCTGGTCCAGGATCTCGATGGATATAATTCAGTTCCAGAACCCCCCTACCCCCCCTTCAGCACTGCTATTTGAGCTTGAGAGCGATCGTCCCTTTCCAGGAAATGGTCTGAATATGGTGGCTGATCTGTCAGTCGCTTCAGGAATAAAATCAACTCTATGTTCCTATGCATAGTCTGCTGGGGTCCAGTGATACAAACGAAGACACCGATCATGGTGCATACTGACACCTAGTGGCCATCTTCATTACATTCATCTACTTAATTTGTTCTGGATCAAATACAATGAATTTTAAAGTAGTTTATTCTTTTATCTACAGCTCATAATGTTGAAACAGGGTTTAAATGTTTTTTCCCCTGCCTATAGTTTGTATGTTGCTGTTTGTGATTAATCCCTCTTGTCCACCTTAAGGACATACGTATCTCCTATGAAGCAAATGATAAAGGTCTTTTTTAACCTCCGCTATTAGACAGAGGAGCAGGTTTTATATGTATGAGTTACCCCTGAACTCTTTCTTCGCTGTTCTTCACTTCTGTCGCTGTTTTTCTGTCTCCTTGAATGAATCACTGACCACAGACGCCCGTTCCATTGATGCAGGCATCTCTATTCAGACTGAAGTGGCCTGTGCTCCCATTACAGGTACCACAGCAGGCCACTGGCTGGTGTCGCCACGGTGACACTGGCTTAACGGGACAAGAGTCCTGCTGGCTGTGACCTCATGCTCCTTGGTGGTTGTGTGCTCCTGTTGTGCGTATGTGTGTGCGTGATAGAGGGCTCTTGGTACAGTGCCATGCAAATGTGTTTATACCCCAAAAAACGATTAACGCTACCAGCACACATTCCAGTGTGTTTAGGTGGAAATTATGCGATATAATTATGTGAGTTTTATGCACCACGAATTGGTGTATAATTATAAAAATGATGAATTTTCGAAAGGTTTTACAGAAAAATAAATAGGCCATGTTTTTGACTGAATCAATACTGGATAGAGATTTTTAGGGTATGTCATTCACAGCTTCTTCTACACTAAAAAAAAAAAAAAAAAACGATTCAGAAATAAGTACAAATTTCCTAAATCAAGTGTATTTACTCTTAATTCTAGTCGGTAAATGAGATGATTTGCCAATTGAATGAGTATTTTTACTCTTAAAACAAGATAATTAGATAATATGTGCTTGTAATTAGCAGTGTTGTATAGTAACGAAGTAAAAATACTTCACTACTGTACTTAAGTATATTTTGGAGTACTTTATACTTTCCAAGAGTAAAAATTTTTTTGAGAACTTTCACTTTTACTTCACTACATTTACAAACTTAATTGCATACTTTTACTCCGATACATTTTCAATGTTTGGTTTAGTTACTAAGTAAAAAAAAAAAAAAAACGAGTGAGAGAAACGCAGGTGTTTTGACCCCGCCTACTGACTACAAAGTTGGGTCTTGCCTGGGTTCGTTCATCAACACCAATAGGATTCGCCTGTTTCACAAAGCCAGTCTAAATTTATCCTACATTTGGTTGTTTATATTATTTTAAGTGAATTTAACCTTCAAAGTTTACCAAAATGTAATTAAAACTGCACTTACTTTTTACTTATACTTTTCACTACATTACTTGAGTACATCTATTTTTACAGTAATTCTTAAACTTAAGTACAAGCCATTTCAGATACTTGAAGACTTTTACTCAAGTAACATTTCAGTCAGTGACTTGGACTTTTACCAAAGTCATATTTTGGAGAGGTACACTGCAAAAAATGTAAATCTAAATAAGTCATTTTTTTCTTAAAATAAGTGCATTTTATCCTGATTTGAGGAGATAAATGAGAGACTTTGCCAATGGAACGAGACAATTTACATTTGAAATAAGAAAAACCAATTGCATTGTCTTATTTCAAGTGCATATTATCTAATTAACTTATTTTAAGTGTAAAAATACTCATTCCACTGACAAACTATCTTATTTACCTGCTCAAATTAAGGGTAAATACACTTGATTTAAGAAACTTTTACTTAATTTCAGATTGTTTTTGCAGTGTACTTATACTTTTACTGGACTCTGAGATTTCAGTACTTTATACAACACTGGTAATTAGACAATGCAGTTGCTTTTTCTTATTTTAAATGTAAATTGTCTTGTTCTATTTACAAAGTATCTCACTTACCTCCTTCATTCAAGACAAAACGCACTGATTTTAAGAAAAAAATGACTTATTTAGATTTTAATTAGAGACTGACTTAATTTTCTTCCATGCTAAATAGGTGAATCTAAGTCCGATTTGTCAGTGAGTGTCTTTGAACAGAAACCATGCATCATGTTCCCTTTCACTTCACCACAGAAACATAAGGACAAAAAATTTAGATTGTCGCATTTTAACTATATGTTTGTATGGAGCAAAATTTGTTGCATTGTCAAGAGCAAAGAATACATTTTATGAATGGAAATGTAAATAAACAATCCCATCCAAAAACGAAACTTTGAAAACTTTGCAACTTTGCTGTTGTCTCATATTTTATTTAAATAATCTCTCTTGAATTGTCAGATTTTGCTTCCTTTTTTTTATTTAAAATTTCTCTTATTCCGTTTGAGTTTTACAAATTGCATTCTTTTGACATTCTTTACTTCTGGGGGCAGGTTTTTCCCCGGGAGTGTTGTTAATTAAAGATATTGCCCTGGATGGACGATAGCAACAACATTATTATCGGGCTAAAGTGAAACGAATGCAGTCTGTAAAACTTAAGATGAAAAGAATGCTTTTCATTAAATCCAACCTTATGAAGAAAAATGTATGAAACTTTAAAATATAAATTCTGGTTAAACATTTTTTTTAAATAACGCTACAAAATAAAATCTTGAAATAATGAAACATTTTTAAAAACTATTAAATAAATGAATAAAATCTTAGAAAACAGAAAATGTACTTATTAATTTCTGTTCATTTTTCATTTAATTTTTTATTAAGAAAAGGTGTTGTTTGATTTAAACAACAACTGAACACAATTCCCTCTGTTTGTTTGTCTCACATTCAAATAGGAATTCTTTAACCTTTCCTACTTTTCTAGATTTGCTGGCTAACTGTTGACAGATTTAACCACCCGAGCTGGAAGTTCTGCAGCTCCTCTAAAGTTCCGATAGGACAGTTCAATTCAATTCAATTCAGTTTATTTATATAGCGCCAAATTCACAACACATGTCATCTCAAGGCACTTTACAGTTCAACCAGATCATACAGTCAAATTGATACAAAGTTTTCTATCTAAGGAAAACCAGTTGATTGCATTGACTCATTGACTCAAATACAATCCCCCACACTAAGCATGCTTGTAGCGACAGTGGAGAGGAAAAACTCCCTTTTAACAGGAAGAAACCTCCAGCAGAACCAGGCTCAGTGTGAGCGGCCATCTGCCGAGGCCGACTGGGGTTCAAGGAGACAGAAGCAGACATACAAAAAGCAGCTGTAAAAGGCGGCCCCGTCCAGGAAACACACAGCCAGGCAGACGAGCTCCAAGGCAGCTCCCATGCCAGAGGACGAAGAGAGCACATCCACTCAGTCACGGTCAGAGAAACAGGACCACACTGGAAAACAGGCCGATCTCCAACATCTATTAACAAGGGTGTTGATAGAAGCAGCACAGCTGATGTTTTTTTCCAGGATGACGTCACAGCCAAACAGGAACAGACGAGGCAAAGCTACTCTGAGGAAAAGCAGAGAGAGCAGAAGGTTAGAGATTGAACTAACAGATTCTGCAGAATAGGAGAACAGAGAGAGAAAGAAGCAGAATGATGAAATGGGGGTCCCTATGTCCTCCAAAAGTCTAAGCCTATAGCAGCATAACTATAGAGATAGCTCAGGATAACCTGAGCCACCCTAACTATAAGCTTTATCAAAAATGAAAGTTTTAAGCCTAGCCTTAAAAGTAGACAGGGTGTCTGCCACACAGACTAAAACTGGTAGTTGGTTCCACAGGAGAGGAGCCTGATAACTAAAAGATCTGCCTCCCATTCTACTTTTAGAAATTCTAGGAACCACTAGTAAACCTGCAGATTGAGAGCGAAGTGCTCTGTTAGGAACATAAGGAACAATCAGATCTCTGATATCAGATGGAGCTTGGCCATTTAAGGCTTTATATGTGAGAAGGACGATTTTAAATTCTATTCTACAGTTGGCTTCTCCTTCTCGTCAGTATTAATGGAGAAACATTTCTTTGTGTTTCCAAATTGTTCATCATCTTTTTACTCTCAGAAGATGAACTGGATAGAGAGCTCTGGGATTTATTTAACACCTGAGATAATGTTTTAGAACCTCACTTTACTTTAAAACCATCTCCTCTCCAGGGTTTTATACCAAAAACAGAACAGCTAAGATTAAATTCTGACTTCTGAAAGCTAAATGTTTTACATCATCAGATTACACGGTGTAAAGCATATTTATGCAATGTATTTTTTTTTTTTACTTTTACATCTAATAATTTTTCATTTTCAATTCAGTTTAATTTATTAAAAATTTTCTATCTAAGGAAAACCAGTTCCCTCACACTAAACATGCTTGTAGCGACAGTGGAGAGGAAAAACTCCCTTTGAACAGGAAGAAACCTCCAGCAGAACCAGGCTCAGAGTGAGCGGCTTCTGCTGAGGCCCACTGGGGTTCAAGGAGACAGAAGCAGAGATAGAAAAAGAAGCATAGATACAAAAGGCAACTGTCAACCAGCTCCACAGGCGGCCCCGTCCAGGAAACACACAGCCAGGCAGACGAGCTCTGAGCCAGCTCCCATATCAGAGGATGAAGAGAGCACATCCAGTTAGTCACAGTCAGAGAAACAGGACTACACTGAAAAACAGGCCAAGCTCCAACATCTAGAAACAAAGGTGTTGATGGCAGCAGCTCAGGATGGAGTCACAGCAAAATTTTCCCCTTTATAATATTCTCTACATTATGGTCTGAGACATTTTGCAAAGCCACATCATAAATTATTTCAAGGAATTTGGCCAAAGCAAATCCAGTTTTTATAGATAAAATCTACGATATAAAATGTCACAAAAAGATATGAAATCATTTAAATGAAGTTACCAAACCGATTGCATTGGTATTTTTAGAATAGAAATACCTTTATAAAGAGTAAACAGAGTGAAAAAATAAACTGGGAGGTAAAGTTAATGACAGCAACTGCAGAGGATGAATAATTGGAGAGGAGTTATAGAAAAGTAATCAGTGCTTCCTCTATGAACGGCTCAGAAACAGAGTGAAGTGTTTAATAGTTATGTGATGAGATGTGAGAATGGGGTATGAATACTTTTGTAAGGCACTTTATCAGGTCTGTGAATCAGTCAGTGGCACTGTGGCAGTGATGCTTTGTAATTGGTCTAGTTCTAACGCAGTGTTTCTCTGCTTCCTTCTCCCCCATGCTTCCTTAATATCATTTTTATAACCGTTGTTGTTAAGTTGAAAAATTATTTTTTCTTTTTTTTATTCCTTTAAAGTAAATTCCTCTCTAACCTCTGTGATGTTTTCCCTTCTGTCTGACACCATCAGGGATGAACGGAAAGAGCATCCTGTCTGCCATGGGCCGACATACCCCAGAGCACTCCGGTGTGATGAGTGCAGCGGGCTCAGGAGCTACCACGTCCCCTTGCTCATCCCGCTCTTCCTCACAGCGGTCGGGAACAGCGGCCCACACGCCCGGGGGGGGGCATCGATCGCCGTGCATGCAGGCCAAACCTTCAGAGGCTTGTAGCAATGCCTTGAACCCCAATGCTGGTTCTACCAAATCCCCAGTGTCCCCAAAGCTCTCCTCAGGTGAGTATGGCTACAAGATCTTTCCCCCTTTGAGTAAAATGACCATCTTCACACACAGGACTTAAAGGGAGAACTCATTCTCAATTCAGATGTTTGATACATTACATTAAAATAAAACAAGCAAACAGAAACAACTCACTTCAGCTGAAATTAAGAGTCTAAAAATAGAAGAGATAAAAGAGCCGTGACTGCAGTCGCTGTTCTGAATCATACCATAGATGTTGAGGTAATTTCTCCCTGTCATAGTTACTTATTTTAATGGACCTTACTTTGTGCACAAGTATATAGAAACTGGAAGATGGTGTACAGCATTGCAGGATGAAGTATTGGGATCTGCATCCGACTTAGCTGGCCCATCAGCTGACCATGGAAACCCACTCCATGGAGCTCTCTACTTGTTAGAACCAGATCCCATGACTAAATATTAAGACTGAATGCATTATAAATGACAACCAAGAATGCAGGAATGAAGGCGGGTGACAAGCTCAACATATAAGTTGCAGAGTTAAAGGAATAGTACACCCAAAACATGATCCATCTGGTTTGGTCTGCCGCGGTTTCCGTAGACTCGTGAACGCGCTTTTTAGGAAGTCCTATACACTACTGTTTATGCTCTAAAAACATTCTAAATGACTTAATTTCTAGTAAATTCTGGATGCTACCCACTCAGGACACTTGGAATACATTGGACGAGCAGTATGGAGGAATATTGACACGTTTTTTGTGGACTTTTATGGACCTTTCTGCCTCGGGCACCATAGACCTCCATTATTTGAATGTCAGCAGACAGCAAGAAGCCTCCCAGATCTCCAGATGCATTTGAGATATCAACTCCAGATTGATGTTCAGCATGGGGGTGAGTAGAAAATGAAGGCTAATCATGTTTTGGGTGTACTATTCCTTTAAGGAGGCAGATAAGAACGTAATCAGCGGCTGACAGGCTTTGAGCGGGTGACATTCTTTTTATCGATAAAGCGCTGGCACTTTATCGACTGGATTTGAGCAAACTGGAGACAGGCAAAAACAATCAAGGACATGACCGGAGTCTGAAGCCAGAAAGAATCCAATGAGAGTTCGAGTAGAAGAACACAGAAAGGCAGGTGGTGCACAATGACACTGGAGTGCATCTCATACAGGAAAGCACGAGACAATCTGGCAAAGACTGACAGAGAGACACGGGTGCATTATTAATAGACATGATAACATATGTTAGGAACGATGTTAATAAGGAGGGACGCAGGTGCAACTGCTCACTCTAATTAACAGTAGAGCAGAACAGAACGAAAAGCAGCCAAAAAGGCTAAATTCATGATGCTACTAACAGCTCACGATCAGAAGCCAAAGTTTTTTCTTTCAGCTCAGTAGAATACAGAAAGCCTAAAACTACTATTCTCTGTGCAGCTCAGCCTCTTTTGAACCCATTCTGTCAGGAACTACCACACTGACCTGAGCTGCCGTCATTCCCAGCAGCTTCTATAATTATATGCAGTGAAAGCACAGAGAAGCAGAGAAGAAATGTAATGACTGCGCTAGTTATCAAAGCCCCACGCTGGAATTCACTGAGCTCCTCATTACACATGTGGTTGCTGCGGCTGCAGCGACTGGAATAGCTTGAAATGATGTTTGGGATGGGATGATGTTGAACACCTGGGATTATAGTGTACCCACACCGTTGGTTATAGATAGTGGAGCTTGGCCTGTTTTTCAGTGTGGTCCTGTTTCTCTGACTGTGACTGGCTGGATGTGCTCTCTTCATCCTCTGGTATTGGAGCTGGCTCGGAGCTCGTCTGCCTGGCTGTGTGTTTCCTGGACGGGGCCGCCTGTGGTAACCTGACTCCGCCAGATGGATTTGCTCCGCATATCCATCTGGGAACCTTCCGTTGAAGTAATTTTGGGAAGGGGTGAAAATACTGGTTAGCTGATTGGCCTATGTTGGTGATAGACGGGCCAAATAAACCAATCAGATCAACCAAGCATATGGCGTACTAACAGAGCGACAACGAAGACCAATTGATAGATCAAACTCTTGTCGAAACCAGTCGGGAGAAGAGCAAAAACATCTTTTCTTCTGAGAAAAGCCTCCAGAGCAGTGTTTTGCTCTTCTTTCAGTGAAGAAATACTCTGTAATTCCGATAAAACTTGCTCGATAGCAACGCTAACGCTAGTTTCATCGGCTGAAGCCGCCATGTTCTTTAGACTGAACTGTCGCGCTTCTCGTTGCGTCACACCTCAACCCGCCTCAAAGCCAACGCTGATTGGACGTTCGTTTGGTGAACGGCTCCAAATTTTCTTCAACGGAGAGTCTCCAGACTGATTAGCGAGAGAAACCTTGAAAGCTCGCGAGATCAGGATGGTCTCACGAGGCTACGCCTGTGGAGCTGGTTGACAGTTGCCTTTTGTATCTATGCTTCTTTTTCTATGTCTGCTTCTGTCCCCTTGAACCCCAGTGGGCCTCAGCAGATGGCCGCTCACACTGAGCCTGGTTCTGCTGGAGGTTTATAACTGTTAAAAGGGAGTTTTTCCTTTCCACTGTTGCCAAAAATGAGTAATGAGTCGATGCAATCAACTGGTTTTCCTTAGAAAACTTTAAATCAATTTGACTGTATGATCTGGTTTAATTGTAAAGTGACTTGAGATGACGTGTTGTGAATTTGCGCTATAGAAATAAACTGAATTGAATTGAACTCGGCTTTGCTTTGCTTTCGAAGAGGTTTTAATCAACAGGCGCTTTAAAGACCTTCCAGGATTTAGTTTCACTGTTTATAATGCTTTAAAGCATAAGGCAAAAATAAAAATCTTTGCAAACTTTGTCAGTAGAATGAGAGGCTGATGACTGGTTGAGTTGGTATAATCTATTAGCTGCTAGTCTTGTTCCTTCCTTTTAGACCTCTTATCGTATTGTGTGGCATTGCCGCCCCCATCTAATACTATAAATAGTGCTTTCTCAGCTTGTTTTCCTCAACTCTCTGTTGTCTCCTCATGCTATACTGTGATCACAGCTCTCCAAACCTGTTAAACTAATGCAAAAGTGTGTACTTTGCAGGTGCTGTTGCTCATTTAGCCTCATTAAAGTAGGCAGAGGGCTCGTACCTCAGCGCAGACAGTGATCGGTACTGTGTGTAACATTGAAGGTTTGTGTTGTGCAACTTACAGAGAAACATCGATCCCTGCGGAGAAGCCCGTCGCCTCAGAAAGGCTCCCCACAGACGTCACCTCAGGTGGTCTTTCTCAAGGACATCGTCTGCTACCTATCGCTGTTAGAAAGGGGGACGCCTGAGGACAAGCTGGAGTGTAAGTGAAACGGGGGAGTGAAGTGTGATGCAGTGTGGGGGGTTCAGCTTAAAATTCCTCTGAAGTAGAAAATCTATGGAGTGAAATTTGTTCCAATAAGGGATGGATAGAACACATTAAAAACACCCTCAGTCAAAAAGTAGAGTTTTAGAGTAATTTCTGTGTATGCAGAAGTTATTAACATTAGCAGTAGCATTTTTATTGGTCTGAGAAACCACCCAGAATATAAAAGAAAGCATTTGCAAACCTAAAACTTGGAAAACAACATCTCAAAAAAAAAAAAAAAAACAGTAAAAAACACACACATATATATATATGTATATATATTATGTCCTTTTGCAAGCACATCATAATGTTCAAAGTTGCATTATTTAAAGGCATTTGTTTTACATTTCCTTATTTTGAAATATGATAATCTGTTGGTATGCAGGAAATACAGCGGCTTTGCAAATTCTTTTCCAACTCAAGCAGGAAAAAATAGCTAAGACGTTTACTATATAGCTCCATAGGTCTTATGTTTATGTATTTAGCAGATGCTTTTTTGCAAAGCAACTCATAAAGCAGGCATTAGGGTGAAGGTCTTGCCTAAGGACCCAAAGTAGCAGCTAATTTCCTCCCAGCAGGGATTCGTACCCAGGGCCTCCTGTCTGCAACTCATATGACTTACCTCTTGAGCTAGCCAGCACTTAAAATCTCAAAATAAGTGTCATGATGGATCAAAGGAGCAAGCCCATATGCAGAACACACACGGAGAAGGCAGGGGAAAAGTTCAAATGTTTATTCAAAGTTCTGAACACAAGATCATAAAGAAGTTCTGAGACTGGTTCACTGAAGTCTTGACTGGGACCGGAGACTGTTGGTTAGCAGAGTTCATGAGAAGCTAAGCGTCTAGCTTCAGGCTTAGCATGGCAGACCTTGATCTGAGCTTCCAGCTCACTGCAGAGAACAGGGAATATCCACATAGGATTCTTCAGGCTGATTCCACATAGGAATCTTCAGGTAAACTCCACATAGAAGTCTTCAGGTTAAATCCACATAGGAATTTTCAGGTTGGCTCACCAGGGCAGATTAGCAGGTTAGGCTCACCTATAGCTTCAGGCTAGAGACAGGTTTCCAGTGAGGCAGCTCATCCAGAGCTTCAGACTAGCAACAGGTTTCCTGTGAGGCACAGACAAAGGAGAGATTAGAATCTGATCTCACACTAGAGACAACTAAGATTCAATCAGTAACAGAGGCTCAGGTTGCTAACCAACTAAGATCAACACTGCGGCGTTGAAGCAAGGTCTGGCAGGAGCTTATAAAGGGGAGGTCTCCTGATGAGTGGATGAATAACAGGTGTGCTGGAAGATTCCAGCTCCAGAAGACCCACGGCGCACTCTGCTGGAGACAGAGGGTAATCTCCAGATCCCAACAGTAACTCCAGCCCTAATAGAAAATAACAAGAGACAGAAGAGGATCCTCGGCGCCCTCTGGTGGGCAAGCCTGAGGATCCCAACAATAAGGTCTTAAAATCCTAATAACTAGGTCATCATTATATATTATATATATTATATATTATTATTATTTTTGACTTCCTGAAAAAAACTAAAATAAAATAACAGCCTCAGGTCACAAACAGCAATGAGTTAAGATTTTTCACAGTCAAGTGGAGGTTTGCCCAAAGTTGTCAGGCTGAAACTAGAGATGTCACACAAAAAAATAACTAAAAAATAATTAGAAGATGGAATTGTGAAGGTTTGATTGTGTAATTAAATAAAGACATCTGTGTTTTTTCATGTTTTCTTAGCAAGAAGGACAGAATGTTATGTCTTCATCCATGTGAAATAAATGGGTGGTAACTCTGCTGTTGAGCGTCAAGTTTAAGGAACAAAACAAAAATAATCCTTTTTCCAATTAAATAAGATTTTAAAAGGTCTGCATTTCTTCTTAAAATGCCTCAGATCAGTTGAAAATCCACAGGAAAAATGTCAGGATTCTTCTACTGTCTTTGCTTCTTAATAATGTTTTTCAATGAAGGATTCTGCAGATCACAGCTTGATGAAATGTGCCGCACAATATTTAAAAATGAGGAAACTATTTTCACCGTCCACTTTGTCAGGTGCGTCTTCCAGTAATAGTTTTGGCCTTTCTTCCTTTGCATTGAGAGCTGAGTTTTTGGAAAGTTTAGCTATACTGACTTACTGACATACTGTGTTACAGCTGATTGGGCTCCTGCAAAATTTAGACTTTTCTTATTCCTAAAATTGTAACCTGGGTCTTATTCTAACAGGTGTTGGGGAAAAGTAAAGCTCTGGCATGTCTCTGATGCAGGTGGATCAGTGGCAGCCTGCATAACAAACCGATTCTATTAAGTACAATTCTGTGCTCAATTTCTTCAGTTTTTTCTGTTTTTATCGTATTTAAAATGAGACAGAAAGATAAATAAAATATAACATTTTGAAATGAACAAGTCAAGAACTCATTTTGTAAATTCGGTAATGGGAATTTAAAATAAAATTGCAATTTAGAAAAGAAACTTAGAAAAATATTTCAGTGAAAAAAGGTTTTGAGAGTAAATCCTGCTTTCTTTGATTGTATTTTGTGAAATAATATTATCCTTTATTCATATCATATTCTTCTCTTTTATTCTGTTATTTTTATAAAATGTGATTATTTTGTGGATGGATGGATGGATGGATGGATGGATGGATGGATGGATGGATGGATGGATGGATGGATGGATGGATGGATGGATCATGATGGATGGATGGATCATGATGGATGGATGGATGGATGGATGGATCATGATGGATGGATGGATGGATGGATGGATGGATGATGGATGGATGGATGGATGGATGGATGGACGGATGGATGGATGGATGGATGGATGGATGGATGGATGGATGGATGGATGATGATGATGGATGGATGGATGGATCATGATGGATTGATGGATGGATGGATGGATGGATGGATGGATCATAATGGATGGATGGATGGATGGATGGATCATGATGGATGGATGGATGGATGGATGGATGGATGGATGGATCATGATGGATGGATGGATGGATGGATGGATGGATGGATGGATGGATGGATGGATCATGATGGATGGATCATGATGGATGGATGGATGGATCATGATTGGATGGATGGATGGATGGATGGATGGATGGATGGATGGATGGATGGATGGATGGATGGATCATGATGGATGGATGATGGATGGATGGATGGATGCATGCATGGATGGATGATGGATGGATGGATGGATGGATGGATGGATGGATGGATGGATGATGGATGGATGGATGATGGATGGATGGATGGATGATGATGGATGGATGGATGGATGGATGGATGGATGATGGATGGATGGATGCATGCATGGATGGATGGACGGATGGATGGATGGATGATGGATGGATGATGGATGGATGAGGATTGGTGGATGGGATGGATGGGTGGAGGATTGGGGGATGGATGGATGGAAAGATGGGTGGGGGGGA